GCTGAGCGCGGCGCGGCCGGCCCGCCGCTTTGTGTGTGTTCTGGATTTGGGAAGGAGCTCGCGGCGGCGGCGGCGCTGAGGGAGGAGGCGGCGGCGAGCGGAGCCCGGAGGAGGAGGAGGAGGGGGAGCCGCTCATTCATTTTTACTCCGCATTTCTGCCCCCGGCCGGCCTCGCCCGCGACCCGGACTTCGGGGCAATCTTGCGAACTGCGTCGCGCCCTCCCGCCGCGGAGGCTCGGGTGTCGGACAGCTTCCCGCTCTGCCTGGGGTCGGGCTTGTTTTTCTCCGCCGAGACGAATTTGGGCTTTGCCCCCTTTCTGTGCAGTTCCCCCCCCCCCCCCTGCCTCTCTGGGTTTGAAAATGGAGGCCGACGACGCCGACAGCCCGCCCCGGCGCGCCTCGGGTTCCCGACTCCGCCGAGCCCTGGGCCGAAGCTGCCGGCGCTGAGGGGCCGCCCCGCGCCGCCGCCCGCCCGCTCGGCGCACCCGGAGGGTCCCCGGCCGGCGCCGCCTTTGGAGTATTGTTTCCTTCGCCCTTGTTTTCGGAGGGGGCGAAGACTGAGTTTGAGACTTTTTCTTCCTTTCCCGTTTTTTTTTTTTTTTTTTTGTTTTCTTTGTTTTCTTTTTCTTTTCTTTCTTTCTTTTTTTTTTTTATTTTTTTGAGAGAGGGGAATTTCGTCCCAAATAAAAGGAATGAAGTCTGGCTCCGGAGGAGGGTCCCCGACCTCGCTGTGGGGGCTCCTGTTTTTCTCCGCCGCGCTCTCGCTCTGGCCGACGAGTGGAGAAAGTGAGTATGTGCCCGCCGCCCGCGGCCACTGCGGGAACTTTTCCTCCGAGGGGCTGCGCCCTGTTTGCGAAACCCGAGTTGCCGTCGTCGCAGCTGTCGGGCCCCTGGGCTCGGGGGCGGCCCGGCGGGGTGTGGAGGGGCTCGGCCTTCCGGCCGGAGCGGCCCCCGGAGCCCCGGCTCTGCGCACCCCCGCGCGGGAAGAGCCTCGGGGGCTTTCTCTTTCGCTGTCCCGGGAGCCCTGCCCCGCGGGCCGGTTGCCTTGGGAAGCGCTCGTGCCCCCGCGGCCGTGCCCGCGCTGGGACTCCGTCGGGGAAGTTCGCGCCGGGCCGGGCCCCGCCACCCACACCTCACCCCCCTCGCGGCGCGCGGGCCGCTCCGCACGGCGGGCTGGCCCCCGCGCGGCGCGCAGACGGTGGTGACAGCTCCCGCGGTCGCGCGGGGCCCTGGCTGCCGGGACAGGCGGGGATCGGGTAGCCCACCGGCCGTGGGGTTCCAGGGGGAGGCGGCCGGCGGAGAGGCCCCGCAGCCCCAGGACACGTTTCCAAACATCCCAGAGCGGCCTCGTGTCGCCAACGCGCTTTAGCCCTCGGGCATTTTGGGTTCCTGGCCTTTCCCTCCCCGTCACTTTCGCCCGATCCTGTGCGGGTTACCTGCCCCCCCCCCCCCCCCCCCTTCCCCCCCCCCCCCCGGTGGGGGGCGGGGGTGGGGGGGGGGGGGGGAGTGCCCCCGCAGAACACCCCCCCCCCCCACCCCCGAAAACTGCAAGGTCGGGGGCTCTGCGTCAGTCCAGCTTTTCCGAGGAGCGCGTCTGGGCCCCTAGTTCACAGGGTTCTGGGACTTTCTTCTCCCAGTTGCTACCCCGGCCCGTAGACCCCTCTCCTCCTGCAGACGGGGGTGGGGAGTGTTCGGGCAGCATCCGACTGTGCGGGAGTGGGTGTGTGGTCCGAGCCGACGTGCATTTCCACACACGTGCTCTCAACGCGGGGCTGTAGCTGTCGCCACACGGCCGCTCGGGGACACCTAGACGCCTGGCCCCGGCGAGAGGTGTCGCGCGCCAGCCTTTAAGGCGCGCGGGGGTCGGGGGCGGGGGGGGGGGGGGGGTTGGGTGTTCTGTTTTGCGAGCGCGGAGCCCTCGCCTTGGTTTGCTGGCCGGAGTTGCGTCGCACTGGATCTCTCCTGCCCCGCACTTCCTTTGTACAAAGTTAATAAGCAGTATCGCTCCACACTCGCTATCGCTTGCAATCTGATAGCTTTTGTTTTGGTGGTGTCGGGTAGGGGTAGGGAAGTGCGGGGAGAGGGGGAGGGAGGGGGGGGAGAACTTAGGGCCCCACGACGTGTGGAGGAAGGAGGAGGAGGAGGAGGGGGTTCTGTACTCAGAAAATGGAAGCGTGGTTTACTGGCGTATTCGCGATGGCAGGGTAATTTGAACACGATTAAAGTTTAAATGCAGTCGGGGAACTGGGGCTGGGAACGTTGAGGGCGTGTTGGTGAGTAATGTTTGCCGAGGGTATGCAGGTGGTGCCAGTTAACTTTGAAAAATCACGACGGAGCCTCGAAGAGTGAGGGAGAATGGTGGGGGGTGGGCGGCGGGGCTGTCTGGCCCCATCACGGGGGCAATTCGGAAAGGCTGTTGTGTAAACAAACCCTTCTTAAGTGTCTTGGAAGAAATGAGTCCGTGATGGAGTAAGAGGAGATTTTTGTAAAGAATTACTGTTTACTACACGGAGTAAGTCGCAGATTGAGGCCGGACCTTCCACGGAGCTGAGCTCTCCTCCTCTTTGTTTTCTAAACTTTCAGCTCACTGGATTGGACGAAAGGCTTTCGGCTCCCTTCTCAGGGTTACAGATGGTGTTTGGGGGGACCGAAGAGGGTTTCTAGCCTCTCAAGGCTAAATACAGTTTAGAAGACCACAGGAGAGCTAATCCATTTTTTTTTAAGGCATGATATTGAGGTGTGTAATGTTTCCAGTTTTATTATTTAATGTTAGTTGTGAGGTTCACAACACCAGTGATGGCCTTGCGTCTTGAGGAAGGAGTCGGGCATTTTAAAATAGGATGTCTTGTTGTTCCCAGCGATCTTCGTGAACAGTATTCTTTGTGAAAGGAGGCTCTTTCTTGAGAAAACCGGAGGAGAAGGGGCATTTTCATGCATGTTTATAATACAGAGAGGCCAAAGCTTTTCTCAAGGATCCCTTGAAAATTGTTGGTTCCTGAAAACCTGACGGATGGCCAGAAGGCACCCCGACTCCTGTCTTGGTTTGTTGAAGTCCTAACTCAGTCTCTGTTCCTTCCTACAGCTCTGACGTTTTCAGGAGAAGACGATATGCTCAGTGTTGAGCATGTGTTCAGTTTTTAGTCAGGTGCTGGAACCCTTAACTCTGATGGAAATAAACTACTGAGTCCAGTCAGGGATGAGTATTGTTTTGGGATAAAAATTGGGCTGGTGTTTGTTCCTATTGTATTGACATATTTAAGGATTAGTGTTTACTCTTTGAACACTGACACCTACAAAAGTAAGGTGATTTTCTTTTAAATCTTTCACTGAAAAGATGTAGAAGTTTTTGAGGCAGATGAAGTCAAGCAGACACGTTTGTTTTGTTATCAACATAATGTGAACAGAGCATCTAAATAAGGGAGGCTGGGAAGTTCTGAGTGATAGCTAAATCATCTGATGGCTTCGTCTTTTTTTTTTTTAAATCCACATGTATTTTAAACATATTGGCTATCTCATTAAAAGGGCTCAGTCCTCTTTCTGCCCCAGGCACAGTCCTATCCTATTGTCAGGGAAATATAGGTATGTGAAAGGTTGATGTTTAAAGAAGTTGGTGTTTTATTACCAGAGGAAGAATCCAGAATAAGAAGGTTGGAAAAAACCTAAATAGCAAATTATAGTTTAGGCTCTCTAGAGGGAACTAGCAAGTAAATGGTACTTTTGAGTAGGGATGGGGTGTGGGTCAGGATTTGAAGTTTAAAAGGTTATATGTTTGATTTGTCAGAAGGATTAGAAAACTCTAACCTTAAGAAATATGCTAAGGTTGACTGGAAGAAACTTAAAAGCATCATGCTAAGTGAAAGAAGCCAGTCACAAAAGACCACATATTATATGATTCTGTTTACATGAAGTCTAGAATAAGCAACTCCATAGAGACGGAAAGTAGATTAGTGGTTGAGTAGGGCCGGGGGAGGACAGAACAGGGAGTGACTGTTCATGGGTATGGGCTTTCTTTTGGGGGTGATGAAAATGTTCTAAAATTAGATTGTGGTGATGGTTGTACCACTCTGAATATACTAAAAATCATTGGAGTGTCCACTTTAAATTAGTGACTTTTATGGCATACAAATTGTATCCCAATAAACCTGGGTTCCCCCCCCCCCCTTTTTTAAAGAAACCTGCGAAGGTTGACAAGAATGCATTGTCACTTTGAACATAGAGGTTAGATTAAGTAAATTTGTCCAGCAAGTGATCATATCTCTTTTTTATTTGTGGAGTTTCTTACATCCGTGCACTCTAGCAATACGGCAAACTGATGGCTGGTGTTCTAACAGTGGGGTTTCAACACCATAGGAGAAATGGGCAGGAAAAAAAAAATCTTGGTTATACACAGCTCAAGTAGGGATTTAGGGGTTGGACTTAAAAAACACAAATGCCAATGAAAGTCAGATTTGTGACAGTGAAATCCTTAACTGAATCCGAAACGAAGTTGGTCTTTCCAAGACTAAAGTTTAGGAGCTGAGTCCGGAAGGCTTTTTGTATTTCCAGTTTTCTTACATGTGTTTTCCAACAAAGAAATAATGTACTGTTTTAAGATGGTAAAGAATTTCCACTTTGTTTTTTCTTTCTTTGCTTTCTTTCTTTCTCTCTTTGATATCCCTTATTAACTACTCTGGTAGTAAAGACTGAGGATGAATGGGGTGGGTTTTTTCTTTGTTGCTCATTTTATTTTTTTTAAATGGCTTCAGAATCTGAGCAGGAAACAGGATCTTTGTACGCGACAGTAGTTTTTTTCAGGCATACGATAATTTTTTTTAATTAAAATTTCTTGTGGAACAAAAGATTTAAACATACAGCAAAGGCCTTTTTGCTATGCCCTTTTCCAGATTTACCTTGGCCTTTTAATAGAAAAAGATGTGGAGAATAGTGGTTGTTTACATTTGTTTTTGCTCTTTGTCTAGGACTTAGTTTACTAATAAAAATGTTTCCTGCCCTTCTTATTGTTGCAAGATCAGGGCAGTAATGAAAATCAACTGTATCGTTTTCACTTGTTGCCTTAGAGTTTTGCCAAGGGGAGCCCTCAAGGGACAGTAGCTTCCTTTTAAATCTGGTTTCATTTGTTTTGTGAGAAGCAACTGAAGCTGTAAGAAGCAACTGAATCCAGCCAGCACTTATTGGGCACCTGCTGTATGAAAGCTGGACCCTATGCCAGGCAGTGAGTAAGCTTACAAGGAAAGAGGGCTTTGTCTTTGTCCTTGGGGCATTTTTTAAAACTCCTGCGTGAAACAAAGTTGCTTAGAAAATCAGATCTTTTTCAGACTCAGCACAGAATGCACGGTTTTCAAATAGGCGGCAAACAGCATTTTAAAGGCCCTTTAAAAACATTTCTGTAGACTTAAGATACGAAGTAAACCAGTGTTGCTGAATCTTCTAAAGCCCTCTGCTGCACCATTTTTGCCTTCCTCACATATTGCCTCCCATTGCAGTACTGGACGCACGGGACACATTCACCCGTCTACGCTCAGCCTCTCAGCTTTTTTACAACATTGGTTCTGACAATTGTGATTAAAAATGTGGAGTGTTGCAGTTACCTTTTGCCAACACTTCAGGAGTTACAGGTGGCCTTTGTGAATGCTGCACGGCATGTTTTGAGTTGTATGGAAGGTGGAACTTATTTCAAAACTGTTCTGGAGTTACACATTGCTGAGCCTTCTGGACATTATTAGGAAACTTTCTTAATTGTAAGGCTTTATCATGTAAAAGAACTCACTGTTTGTAAAGGTGCAGAA